GGGGAGGGAACTGAAAGGAGTGGAGGGAGGGGAAACTGTGGTTGGGTGTATTTTTGGTGGCACACGCCTTTAATGCCAGCACTTGGGAAGCAGAGGCAGGTGGGTCTCTGAGTTCAAGGACAGCCTGGTCTACAGAGCTAGTTCCAGGACAGCCAGGGCTATACAAAGAAACCCTGTCTCGAAAACAAAACAAAACAAAACCACCAAAGAAAAATCTGTTAAAAGGAAGCCAAGCAGCCAATGGTGGCAGAATTTGATGGTTCCAGGGTGTGTGATCAGAATCTGTAAGCAGTGGACTTGGCAGTGTGATAGGCTGACTTGGGAAAGACTCAGTGCAGTGTCTCAGCCTTGCTGGGTGACACCATTGTGCTCAGGCTAGGTTCCATTGGAAAGACTGCCTGGTGCACTCTGAAGAACCAATGGTACCTCTCAGGCTTCAAACCCTTGGAGATCTATAAGACTGAGACAGGAAGGGTGGCTTGGATCCCATCAGTGACCCATTCACAAAATGATCATGTTCATTCTCTTTTTGTGTGTTTGTATATATGTGTGTAAGCCAGAGGATGAGTCTTTCTTCAAATGCTTTTCACCTTTTGTTTGTTTGTTTGTTTGTTTTTTGAGACAGGGTCTCACACTGGCTTAGAACTCATCAATCAGCAAGTCAGTACACTGCCCAGTGAGCCGCGGGAATCCACTTGTCTCTGCTTCCCCAATCTCTCTCTCTCTCTCTCTCTCTCTCTCTCTCTCTCTCTCTCTCTCTCTCTCTCTCTCTCTCTCACACACACACACACACACACACACACACACACACACACACACACACACACAAGTTCTCACTATAAAGCCCTGCCTGTGCTGGAATTCACTCTGTAGACCAGGTTGGCCTCCAAATTACAGAGCTCCACCTGCCTCTGCCTCCTGAGTGCCGGAACCTAAGGCGTGCGCCACCATGCTACCTCATGCCTGCCCTCTTAAAAACATGGCGCTGTAGCTGCAAAGCAAGTACTTTACTCAGGGCCATCTCCTCATCTCCCGTTCTTGTCCTCTTAACCTGCTCATGCGGGAATTAGGCACAAGAGGAAGGGATGCTGTTGCCAGGACCCGGCACCATAATTCCATTAAGTGGGAGCTGTGCTCTGTGCTCAGAGAGCCACATTCATTACGGTATTAGGGAAACACAAGTGGGTATAGTGTGTAACACTTGTAGTCAATCCCATATTCAAGAAGCTGGGGCAGGAGGATCTGGTGTTTAAGTATAGCCTGAGCTACCTAGTGAGAAGACCTCAGTAAAACACTTCCAGCCTTGTCAAGGACAGGTTTCGTGCCTGTCATCCACACTGAGAGGTGGAGGCAGAAGTACTGATGTGAGTTCGAGGTCAGGCCGGGCTACTGTATGAGACTGTATCACTAATAAACAAACATCCAAACAAATGAAACACCAGGAAGTCTCCCTAAAACATCAGGAAGTCACTCCCAGCAGATCAAGTTGTGTAGCCCAGCCCAGCAAATAAGAGACCCTCCTGACCATGCACTCCACCTCTAGAGAGTATCCTAAGGACCTGGGACTTCCTCTTGGCCTTCGGTTCACACCTGACTGCTGGTCCATTTACAATACAATTCTTGGGGGCTGGAGAGATGGCGCAGCATCCAGCTTTGCACAGGACTCATGTTGGTTCCCAGCACCAACATGGCGGCTCATGGTGTCTATAACTCCGATTCCAGGGAATCTGGCACCCTCTTCTGACCTCTGCAAGCTATAGATACTCACATGGTACATACACATACATGCAAGCAAAATACTCATACATATAAAACAAATATGTCTTAAAAAGCAAAACCTTAAAAATACAGTTCCAGCTGAGCATGAGGATGCATGCTTTTAGTCCCAGCACTCAGGAGGCAGAGGCAAACAGATAGACCTCTGTGAGTTTGAGGCCACCTTGGTCTAAATAGTAAGTTCCAGGCTAGCTAGTAAGACCTTGTCTCAAAAGAAAGCAAAATATAACAACCAAAAAAGTTTGAATGAGAATAGCCCATAGGCTCATATATTTGAATGCTTAGTCACCAGAGAGTGGAACTGTTTGAAAGGATTAGAAGGATTAAGGGGTGTGACTTTATTGGAATAGGTGTAGCCTTGTTGGAGGAAGTGTGTCACTAGGGGTAGAGTTTGAGGTTTCAAAAGCCTACACCAGGCTCAGGCTCTCTCTGCCTACTGCCCGTGTATCATAATGTAAAGTTCTCAGCTACGCTCTAGCACCATGCATGCCACCATGCTCCCCACCATGATGATAATGGACTAATCTCTGAAACTCTAAGCAAGCCCCCAATTAAATGTTTTCTTTTTACGGGAGTTGCCTTGGTCATGGTGTCTCCATACAGCAATAGAACAATGACTAAGATAATATATATACATTTTTTTTTGAGACAGAGTATTGGTGGAAGTATTAAGGCCACTCCACGTAGTTAAAAGGGAGGTTTTTTTTTTTGGGGGGGTAACTTACAAATAAAGGGATAGCTTACAAATACAAGGTCTGGGAGAGGTGAAGTGCAGTCCAGCGGTGTTTTCTGGAGAACTCTGCTCGGTCTACCATCCAACATCCAGGCTTACCAGGAACCAAAAAGGGCTGGCATATCTGGATCTCAGGTCTTAAGGGCTTCTGTCTCGGCCTCGCCTCAGGGGCAGGCCATAGGTAGGCGTGACAGTTACTGGAAGCCTCACTGAGGGTAGTACTTCCAGGTCAAAGCTGGAACAGCTACCCACTACATCAGAGTCTCACTAGGTATCCCAAGCTGGCCTCAAACTAAGCTATATCAACTTTCCCTGATGTTGCAAATGATGTTTGATGCTGGGCATCAAACCATGGTTCTTTTCCCTCTCCTTTCTGTGCCTCTCTTTGCAATATCCTTTTCTCAAGGAGTGTCACCCCTCATATATTCCTAGCATAAGCCTTTTGCATTCAGTTCTCCTAGGAATTACTTCCATCTAAGACCTTTTCTATTTCCTCTCCCAGGACTCGGTGTGCCCATTCAGCTGGATTAGGGAGCCCTCCTGGGGGTTCCTGTAACATCCCACAAACCTCTCTTATATTTCAGGGAGTACTCTGTACCATGAATGCTTGTCTATGATCCTTCCAGACAAGAACTCCTGGCTGACAAAGCCTCAGAGTTGTGCCCACAATTATATTCTCAGGCCTGAGCATGACCTGGCTGATCTTTTGTTAACTGAGCCAGCCCCTTGGCCCCTTAAGTACCTTTCTCTGCTTCTATTTACCCTTAAGGTAAAGAGGAGAGTTCCTTTATTTATAGACAGGGTTTCCCTGAGTAGCTCAGGCTAGCCTGGGGTGTACTATGTAACCCATGCTAGACTTGAATTTGTGATCCTCTTTCCTCTGCTTCTCTATTCTTGAGATTATACCCATGTGCTACTATGCCTGAATCATTAAAACACTTCTTTACATTTTTTTTTTACTTCTTTACATTTTTAATTTATATTTTACTTACTATTTATTTCTAATTATGTATATGTGTTATTTTTAATAATGGGAGTAGGGGAGTGCTCATCCCTGGAGGCCAGATGCATCAGATTCCTGGACCTACAGGTGGTTGTGAGCCACCCAGTGTGGATGCCAGGAATCAAAATGGGTCCTCTTCAGGAACAGCACTTGCCGGGGCGGCAGTGGCGCACACCTTTAATCCCAGCACTCGGGAGGCAGAGCCAGATGGATCTCTGTGAGTTCAAGGCCAGCCTGGGCTACAGAGAGAGATCCAAGAGAGGCACCAAAACTACACAGAGAAACCTTGTCTCAAAAAGCAAAAAAAAAAAAAAAAAAAAAAAGAACAGTACTCACTCTTAACTAGTGAGCATGTGCTCTCTCTCTCTCTCTCTCTCTCTCTCTCTCTCTCTCTCTCTCTCTCTCACACACACACACACACACACACACACACACACACACACACACACACACACACAGAGAGAGAGAGAGAGAGAGAGAGAGAGAGAAGGTTCCTTCCAGACTTTACCTGGATCCCCCTCTTTGCTTCGCCGTCTTTACGCTGCGCCCTCTGGCTGGTGATCACCTTGACCTTGTTCACTGCCCTGCATGTGCATCTGCTGTGTGCTTCTGCACGGCCCTTGACTCTCCCGGACTGTGACTTCTATGGGCGTCACTGCAAATTCCTTAGGTTTTCTCTGCCGCACTCCATGAAAATATGAACCAGCTAGTCTTGCACATACTTCTGGCTGTACTGCCTAATACATTAACACATAACAGAAACTCAATACATTAAATAAACCACGTGATCATGACCCTACAAAATCCCTCCCCACCCCCAGTCTTCAGGCTATCCCAACTAATGCAGTTTTTTGTTTTGCTTCTTATTTTGTTTTATTTTATTGAGACAGGGTCCTCCCTACCCTAGACTGGTCTCAAACTTCCTATGTAGTAAGCATGGCCTTGAATTTCTGATCTCCCTGCCTCTAACTCCCCAGGGCTAGCATTTTAGGCAAGGGCTGCCCTGCCCAGTTTATGTGGTGCTAGGGATGGAACCCTGGGTCTCCTCCATGCCAGGCAAGCACTCTCCCATCTGAACTCCTACTTCCTGCTGTGGTCTGAATAACTAGGGAGGGTGTGTCTATCAGGATAGGCCATGGGGCAGGGAAGCCCTCATCCCAACCTTTAGCCCAAGCTACCTCAGGAAGAGAGAAGAAAAGTCAGGGGGGGGCCCTTCTAGGTGAATGCTCCCTAGGACCGTCCTCTGGGGCCTCAGGGCATTGCAGATTCTTCCTGACCTGCCACACATGTGCCACCTGCTCAGCTGGGAAGCTCTCTTCAAGTGGGGTCTCCCTCCATGCCTTCAATTCTACATTCTTCCCGGCCACGTCTCCCAGTGGAGGCCCCGCACTGGTTAGCATGGCCTCACCGTGTCTCTCTGCCCCTTGCCCTATCATAAGCAAAGGCAGGCAGGTGGGGGACAGGGTCGGAAGTGGGATTGAGAATTGACTCAGTGTGCATTTTTTTTTCCCAGCATCTTTACTCATTTGAAGTTCAAGAGGAGGTAAACATTGGTCCCTGGGGATCCCAGCACACTTGGACCTGGGTGAGGAGGAACAGGGAAAAAAGTGGGGGTGCTCTGGGCCATCAGCTTATCACACAAGTGCCTTTCTCCTTGAAGGGATTCTTGTCTTCTGGGATGCCTTTGAGAAGAGGGTCAGCCCCTGCTTGGGCCTCTACATAGTCCTTGATTTCCTTTCCGGTCTTGGAAATCTGTAAGATGACAAAACATGGTCACAGCTCTTGTTTGTTTCTCAGAATCCATGACATGGCAATCTTAGGAAAATGGGAAGGGAAGGGAGGGGGTCACAGAGGAAGAGGAGGTGGAGGAAAGAGGCAGGGGGAGGGTGAGTCCCTTGACCTGACCCTCAAACACTTGACAGGATGCATGGCCACCGCAGCCTGGGGACAGTGCTGGACACACTGGGCTCCCCACAGCTCTCGGTCTCTCCCCTGTGCCCAGGAACGTGAGGGGGACCCCAACTGTCTTCTATATCCCACCCCAGTCCAGAGATCTGTCCTGGGCCTACGTCTCCTCTTAACTCCGACAGAAAGGTAAAGAAGCTGGAGGCGGAGGGACTGGGGACTCACCGGATCACGAGGGTTCTTCGCTTCCTTCTTCAGCTGCTCCACCTCCATCCTCAGCAGTTCTTTCTCACTGAGATCCTGGGCCATCCTGCCCTAGAGGGAGACCCGGCGCCCTGACAGGATCCCACAGTCATGAGCACTTCCCCCTCCACACCTCCAATTCCACACTCTTCCTGACCACACCCCCGCAATCAAGATCCCTCATTGGCTAACATTTCCTCATGGTATCCCTCCACCCTTTGCTCTATCTGAACGAAGGCTTAGAAGAAGTGGAAGTGACCAGTGAGATAGGGTAGTTCAATCTTTGCCCTTGGATAAGAACCTTTCTAAGAAGGAAACAGAAAAAGGAAGGGAAAGTGGGTTTAAGTGTGGAAAATTTGGGACGAAAAGTGAATGCTCCATGAAAGGATTCAGGAGGATGCTTTGTCTCTAGGGCCTGACAAGGGGACAGTATGCCTAGTGTTAAGATTATGGGTCAGCCAGAGGCCAGCTGAGACCCCCAGCTCTGCTGCTCCCTGCTCTGTGACCTTGGACAAGTCACTCAGCTTCTTTGAATCTTAGTTTTCCCATCAGCAAACGAATATAATAATAGTCATGTTGCTTTTAGTTTTTGAGACAGTGTCTCATGTAGCCCAGGCCTCAAACTCTCTATGTAGCTGAGGATGACTTTGAACTCCTGATCCTTCTGCTTCTACCTCCTGAGTTCTGGGATTACAGGCATGCACCACAATACCTAGATTGTGTGCTACTGAGGATGAAACCCGGGGTTTTGAGCATGCTAGACAAGCATTCTATCAACTGAGCTACATCCCAACTCCCACTGTTATTGTGAGAACTAAGAAAATAATGCATGGGGGTTGTTGGAGAGACGGCTCGGCATTTGAGAGCACTTATTGCCCTTACAGAGGACAAGGATTCAATTCCCAGCACCCACTTGTTGGCTCACATCCATCCATAACCCCAGTTCCAGGGGATCCAATGCCCCCTTCTAACCTCTGTGAAAACCAGGCAAGCGTGTGGTACACATACATTCATGCAGGGAAAACATTCATACACATGAAATAAACGAGAAAATAATGCATGGGAAACATTGCCATACTGCCTGGTACATAACACATTTCTTATTTTGATTTCTGACAATATCATTACCATCATCCCTCCCGGGTAAATCAACCTGTTGCTTAACCCCAGTAATACTAAGACTAGACCCCAGCCCAGTGTCCCCAAAGCCTCCTTACCTGCTAGCACTTTCTCCAAAATCACCAGTCGAGGACCCAGACACGATGGTGTTTGAACCTGCTAGCGCCTCATCAGCTGAAAATCTTCAGATAAAGCAGATGGTCGGCAAAGCCTAATCTCTAATGCCTAAGCTGATCATGAGCTCAGGGTCATAAGTCCTGATTCTCCCAGCCCTTCACTCCTCCACAGCAGACACTGACTGTTCTAACCACAAAGCAAAAAACAGGCCACCTCCATTGTGGGCCCCTGCACCACATCAGCAGCTCTCCTTTAGTGACCCCCTAACCCACCCCCATCTCACATCTCAGTCCAGCCCACATGCTCCCCTTGCCTGTCTTTGTCCATCACAGAGCCTGCTCCAAGCCTGTTCCCCTTCAGACAACACACTCCAAACTAGCTCCTAGCTTTCCGTATCCAGAAGCCCTGTGCCTTCCATTAGGGGGTTCCATAATGTCACCTTCCAAGGGTCTCCAGGCTCACTCTTCACTCACTCCATAAAAACATACCCTCACTTCCAGTGCTCAACGTTCCAATCCAGGGGGGTTGCGGTCACCCCAATGCCATGGCCTTTGCTTCTTGGCCTCCACGCCCTCCCTGGCGTGTGGAACTCCCTTATCTTCAGATCCCAACACTCACCTACAACCTGCCCTTTCCCTCTCCTCTCCAGGGCTACCTGATGACTATGACATTTAGCAGAGCTGAGCTCCTGCTCTGGCTGACATTTGTCCAATAGCAAGGGACTCTCTGGAGGGAATGTTAAGGAACTGATGTGGTCAGTGAGGGTTCCTCTTCTGCCAAGAGGATGGCAAACTGGGAGGGGGAGGAGCTGTAGAAGGCCGTCCTTTGCCCCAGGATCAAGTCCCACTCCCAGCTGGGAGCTCCAAGAACTCAAGTTTAGGACAGAATCATCAACCCATCCATCTCTCAGTCAATGCAATGAGCCCCACTCAACACTCTGTCCACCAGTGATACTTCAAACCCACACATCCATCTGGAATGGTGTTGTCCCACACCCAAGGCCTTCCTGTTGCTCATCTGAGTCCCTCATACTTCTTATTTGGTCAATTCCATCTTCTCCTACCTACATCAGGCACAAAGCACAGGTCACGGGACTCCCTACTTGACCCTTCACAGGCTTGTCCACAGTTCTCCAGGAATTCTAGACGGTCTTCCTGGTGTCTAACCCTGATACTTCTTGCTGCTGCATGGGCTGTTTTCCATTGTTGTTGCACTGCCAGCCCTGCCCGCCCCCCCCCCCCCACTCCATGACTTATCTCCATATCCTATCCACCCTCCACTCCCCCATCCCTTGGTGACTCATCCCCAAGCTTCCCAAGGAAGCCCCCACCCTCTGCCCTTCCTCCCTTCTTCCATGAGTGGAAAATCCACCCCCATTGCAGGCCAGCCCCTTCCTCCTGTCTCTATTACCCATCCCCCCCATCGACTAGCTTCCTCTCCCGGACCAGGGAGCCATCACAGATGCCCCGACCTTGCCTTCCTTTGCCTGGTGAGATTGGGAGGCTGAGCCCCCGAACAGGCCCCTGGCTTCCCCCTTCTCCTGAGCTGGGGACAGAGAGGCCCAGGCCCAGGACCCAGGGTCTGACTTCCTCTTGTCCCGGAACGAGCATGCCTACCCTTTGCAGGCAGGTTTGGGTCTCTCACGCAGAGGAAACCAAAAGCAGTGAGGAGGGGAAGGCAGAGCGGCCAATCAGGGGCAGGGTGAGGCTCAAAACCAGCAGCCTCCCCAGGGAACCCCACCGAGGCCCCGGAGCCATGGCGGAGCTGCAGCAGCTGCAAGAGTTTGACATCCCCACGGGCCGGGAGGCTCTGCGGGGCAACCACAGCGCCCTGCTGCGCGTGGCCAACTACTGCGAGGATAACTACGTGCAGGTGAGTGGAGAGAGCGCGTGCCAGGATACCCATCCCGGGAGGGGACTTGCAGCCCGGCCCCCCTCGCAGGGTCATCTGACAGGTGCCTGTTCTGGCCTTGGCTGAGGACTCTTCAGGCTTCAACAGCATCCATTTCCCAAGCGCCACGGCATTTGTTCTCTCTGACCTCGCCTCAGAGGCAGAGGATGTGTATATACATCACTGTGCACTTAATCTGTTTGCTCTCCCACCGTGCCCCAGCTCATCCCTTACAAAGACCTACAAGAGCCTTTCCTCCCACGGGTGCTGGTACCATCTGCAGGCTGGCTCTAGGGGAGTCGTCAGGAAAACTTCCACACTCGGGAGTTTGTTCCTTGATGTTTGAGGGAGAGCAGAGCCGGGTCAGAGCAAATCGGGATGAGAGAAGAGGTCTGATGCAGAGGCAGGGGGCTTACAGCCTGGCTGCTGAGAGCCGAGCCGATGAGGAGGAAGGAACTAGAGAGCAGACTCCAATTTGTGTTTATTTGAGGTTTTTGAGACAGGGTCTCACTGTATGACCCAGACTGTCCAGTTCACTGTAGCTCAGGCTGGTCCTCCTGTCTCAGCCCTCAGTGCTGGGATTACAGGCTCCCACCACCTCACCTGGCTGTTGTTTGAGTCATGTGTCCTTTTGTTCCGGTTCCTCAAGGCCTTGGGAAGGGAGCCCAGGGCTGTCTGGGAAGTGCTTTTTTGCTGAGCTAAGCCCCACTCCACCCTGGCGCAGTCTTGTGGATCTCATACTTGTTCCTTAGCATCGGTTCCTGGGGAGGGGAGAGGGGCAGAGGACCTAGCGGCTGCCCATCTGCCTCTGTCAACCCTCACAGTCACCTTGTGAGACAAAGACTATATTTCCAAGTGTGAAAACAGCCACTCAGGGAGGGGAGGTGACATGTGCAGGGTGACCCAGCTCTGGAACAGCAGAGCCAAGCATGGCCTTCCCGCCTTCTCACCCGGGCTCCTGCCTCTCTATCCTTCTGCCTGTCTGATACAGTGCGTCACTTGGGACAGTTTATCTGCACTCTTTGTCCTCAGTTTCCTCTGCTCCCTTAACAGTGGCAGGCTAAGTCTTTGACCTCTTACCCCTGGCCAAACTGTGAGACAACACCAGGGGCCTCTTCCTATAGTAAGGGGGCTGGGAAGAGAAGAGGAGCAAACGCCTGTGGGAAAGGGCATCTCTCTGTACCCCGCCCCCAACAGCCTCGTTTTGTCCTGTGAGGTGAGGACCATTCATGCGTCACAATGAGGAAGCTGAGGTTTGGAAAGGGTTAAACTGTGCTCCCAGAGACCTCCAAGATAGTCACCAGGACAGGATTCAAACTCAGAATTCTAGCTGGTTGTGGTGGTCCATACCTGTGATCTCAGCACTGGGGAGGCTACAGCAGGGGGATCTCCAAAAGTTCAAGACCTGCCTTATAGTCTCCACATAACTGAGCCCAAGACAGTCAGGGTTACATAGCAAGACACTGCCTCAAAGAGCCCAAAACAACAAATCAAGACCCCCAACAAAAAGCAGCCAGAATTCTGACTCAGAGTTCAGTTACTAACCCTTTAGACCACAGTGCTACCTAACATGTCATCCTGTTGTGTGTGTGTGTGTGTGTGTGTGTGTGTGTGTGTGTGTGTGTGTGTGTGTGTGTGTGTGTGATGTTGAGTGACCAGACTGTAGCTAGATGATCTGGCATGTGGCTTATAAACCAGCTCTGCCCCGACCTGCCCCCCACCCCCAGCACTTAGGCATGTTCCCCTGGCAGGGATAGAAGTAGTCCTTTCCCACACCTCCAAGTGCTTCTGGTGGATCCAATCCCATGTGTACAATTGGTGTGCACACAGGAACTGAAGCCACAAGGCTGAGTCCCCAGGTCTTCCATCATCTATCCACTTAGGAATGTATGGTGAGGTTCCCATTGGTCTTTCTTTCTTTTTCTCTTTCTCTTTCTCTTCCTTCCTTCCTTTCTTTCTGCCCTGTCTCTGTCTCTCTATAGTTCAGGCTGGCCTTGAATTCCTGACAGGTCTGCCGCAGCTTCAGAAGACTGGAATTACAGGTCTGTGCCAGCATTTGGGGGTGGGTGGAGTTCCTCTGAGATTCTATACCTTCTCCAAACAAGTATGAACTGAAACAATGTGTTGAAGCAGTTGCCCAGGCCCACCATCCTGTAAGAAAGGCAGGATAAATGCAGTTATTATTGCTGCTGTTACCATTTCAGTAGTGACGGACTAATGGAACCCACTCTATTGAGGTGACAGCCTTGGCAAACACACTCAGTGTATTGGAAGCCCTGACCCAGGTTGGAATCTCTGGATTCCTTTGTGCTGACTCCCAGACCGTACGATCAGTGACCATCGCTGCCTGTCTACAGAGGAAAGTTTATGGTGATGTCTTTTAGCAGGTCTCCATCCCATCCTTCCCCAAGAAGCCCCAAGGGGAAAAGCAGCAGGTGGATGGGTCAAGTGTAGGGTTCTCCGTCAGGGTTGACTGAGTGTACAATCAGGGTCATTTGCATGATAAACACCCAGCTTAGATGAAGGATCCCAGACCCTTGTTCCTCCAGACTTCACTGTGGGCCAAGACCAAAGGGAGAGGTTAAAAACATCTGGAGGTACCCAGAGCCGGGCCCAAGCAGACAACTCTTGTTTTGGTTGCTAAGTGCTGTGCTGTGCTGGGGAGGGAACAGTCCAGGAGCAGAGGGGCCGGTTTTCGTACCCATTAAACAAAGATCTAGAACAAAGCTGTAATCCTTTCTAGTTTCTTTGCCTATTCAAGGCTTTGGGTGGCATATGCTGATGAAATGCAAATTTTTATTGCATATGCAGATGACATGTAAATAGGCACAAATGAACATCGCTTTCCTGCTGTCAGAACAGAAAAGCAGGGAGGGGAGGACCATGGCATGGGTTTTCCAGAAGGGTCTAGTTCAGACTACACAAGGGGAATCCACCTCTCACTGAGGACACAGCTCTCGTAGTTCCGGTGACAACAGGTCCTATGGAGTACACAAAGCTCTGAGGCAGGAGGCTGCAGGGTATACACACACCCTGGCCTGCCTCATCTGCTCTGGACTCGTCTCTGCCCCTCCCCCACCCCCAGAAAGGGACAGGCTTCAGTGCAGCAGGCTCATGGTCCATGGCGAAGGAGGAAGCGGCTTGGGGAAGCAAGAGACCCAAGAAGGTTTACCCAGCCCCCCAAGTCTGGTCTGGGCCCCCCCAAAAAAGTTCTTTTGTCTTTAGCCACCCTCTGGCCACCCCTTTTCCACTGACTGGCAGTGTGGCACTGGCTAGTGTCTGGCATGCAGTGGGAAGCTGCCTAACTCATGCTGGGTTCCCCTTCGACCTGCCCGTCAGCCAACAAATGCATAGTTACTTCCTATCTTCTGTGTGGTGGGGACTATGCCAGCAAAGGATGCAGGAAAGGATGGACCAGCTCTCTGTTTTTTTTTTTTTTTTTTTTTTTTTTCGAGACAGGGTTTCTCTGTGTAGCTTTGCGCCTGTCCTGGAACTCACTTGGTAGCCCAGGCTGGCCTCGAACTCACAGAGATCCGCCTGCCTCTGCCTCCCGAGTGCTGGGATTAAAGGCGTGCGCCACCACCACCCGGCTCAGCTCTCTGTTTTTGTGGTACTTATATTTGGCTGGAGGGGGGAGTTGGAAAAAAAAAAAAAAAGGACAGGAAATACAGGCACCAAGGCCCCCGAGGTAGAAACGATCCAGCTTGTTAGAGAACAGATCCCCAGTGGCCAGGATGGTTGGAGAGAAGCAACGGGTGTGTGTAAAGGGGAGGGGGTGTTTCAGAGCCAAGTGTGGTTGCACACACCTATGATCCTAGCACTTTGGAGATGGAAGCGGGAGAATGAGGAGTTCGAGGTCAGCCTTGGTTACAACACAGTTTGAGGCCTGTACTACATGAAACCCTGTCACACACACAAAAACCATTCTGGTTCTGGGACACAGAGTCCTTTTCTAAGTTCCCACACGCCTGCCTGCGGACTGCGGCTCAAGAAGTTCAAGGCCAGCTGGGGGCTGCTAGGCTCTGGCCTTCCTCCGAGGGGGCTTTGGTTTGCAGGTTTAGGGTAAGGGTGTGGTATTGGTTGGCTGGGTTTTAAATTTGGTTGTGTCTCCTCAGGCCAGCATCACCTTCCTCTTTCCTTTCTACTCCTCACCGTCCAGCCTGCAGAGAGGCACTTGGTGAGGAAGGCAGTAAGGTCTGGTCCTCTCAACTCAGTCCTCACCTCAGCTACTGGAGGAGAGGACTCCTCCCCATCCCCTCAGTCAGTTCTCCCAGGCTGCAGACGTGTTTACCTAAGATCCCTTGTAACCCTCTTG